TGCGGGGGAGGAGGGTACAGAGGTTAAAATAATGGGAGCTAGTCTGTCTCTAATAGTAAGAAATGAAAGTATTTACACTCCGTTACCCAAGACAGTGATATTCTGTGGAATAAATGGAGAGACATTTAGTCTTACACTGGAATACAACACTGGAAAGTCCAAATGAGACCGAGGAAGTGACAATGGGAGCGATTGAAAGTGCGTCTAATTCCAGGAATACAGTTTGTTCTTGGAAACAACCTAGCTGGATCAAAAGGTGGGAGTAATGTCCATTACAATGGAGAAACTGAAAGAAAACCAGGGAACTGAGGAGTTAAAAGAAAATTACCCTGGAATGTTTCTGTACTGTGTGCTGACAGGATCCCAGTCATAAGTTAAAGCAAGAAGGGAAAACCAGAGAAAGACAAAGGAGTTGAGGTCCAGTTAGCTGACACCCTGTTTGATGAAATAGTAAAGGAAAAACCTAAGCAGGCAGACGAACAGGCAGCGGTCTTTAGTTCTGAAAGATCAATAGAGTTACAACAAAAAGATGAGACAATAAGAGATTTATATCATAAGGCCTGCTCAGAAAAGGAATCAATGTATTCCAGAATGTTATTACCTTAAGGATAGGAGAGGAAAAATGGGCGGAAGTTCACCAGATTATGTTGCCAGTAATACTACGGGTAGCACACAAATTACCTGTAGGAGGTCATCAAGGAGTGAGGAAGACTCAGGCTAAGATACAGAAGCTTTTCTATTGGCCTGAATTACATAAAGATGTGGTTGAATTTTGCCTTACCTGTCACACGTGTCAAATGGTAGGAAAGCGACAGGCAGTGATAAAACCTGCGTCTTTGATGTCAATGCCTGCATTTTAAGAAGCTTTCACGCAGGTAGGTCCCCTCCCTAAAATGAAAAGTGGGAACCAGTACTTGCTAACCATAATGGATGTGTCCACCAGATTTCTGGAGGCTATTCCATTATGGAATTTGAAGGCAAAAAAAGGTTGTGATGGAGTTGGTTGCTTTCTTTACCTGTTATGGACTACCTAGAGAGAATCAGACCAAAGGGTCCAATTTTACTGCCAAATTATTTAAGGAAGTAATGGATAGTTTAGGAATCTAATGCTTTAAATCAAGTGCATTCATTCCTGAATTCCAGACAGCATTGGAAAGGTGGCATCAAACCCTAAAGACAATGCTGAGGGCTTATTGCCAGGATTACCAAATGATTGGGATAAAGGTATCCCATTTCTATTAGGCATGCTCCAAATGAATTAACTCAGTTTACTCCATTTGAATTGATATTCGGACACAAAGTAAGAGGACCTTCACAATTAATTAAAGAAAAGTTGATACTTCTGAAGTCAGAGATCTCACAGTTGGATTATGTATCTTAGGTGGGAGAAAGATTTTGATGTGCCTAAGAATAATTTGAATAATGAGGAAGTCCTTAAAGAATGGAATAGGATAGTAAGCTCTCTGTTTCAGGAACAGAGAATTGAATTGAAAGGCTTTTTGCAGCACTATGAGCACATGTGTAAATATAGAATGGGGAGGGCTAATACCATTGTACATGAGGTTGACATATGGAATGCTGTTCTGATAAAACACCACCCCTACAGGCTTAATCCTCTCAAAGCAACATAGGTACAGAAGGAGGTGGAAGCGACGCTCCAAGAAGACATCATCCAGCAGAGTCAAAGCAAATGGAGTTCGCTGATTGTGGTAGTTCCCAAACCTGATGGTACTAACAATTCTACATCGACTATCAGAAGGTCAATGCTTTGACCAAAATCAGACTTGTACCCAATTCCCAGGCTGGAAGATTGTGTGGAAAAAGTAGGACAAGCCACTTGCATCACAAAGTTGGACATATTTTGTGGTTACTGGCAAGTACCTTTATCAGAGACAGCAAAAGAAATTTCTGCTTCTGTAACCCCAAATAAGCAATACCAATTTAAAGTAACGTCCTTTGGAATTAAGACTGCACCAGCCACATTTCGAAGACTAATGAATAGAGTTGTGGCAGGATTAACTAATTGTGCCGTCTATATAGATGACTTTGTGATCTTTAGCCATTTCTGGATAGATCACACAGTGCATTTGGCAGAGCTCTTTGAGAGACTACAGAAGGCAAAGTTGGTCATAAATTTGGCAAAGCCAAAATTTGCGAAGGTGGAAGTGACGTTCTTAGGA